AGCAGATGGAAAATATCTGTCTGTCCCTGTCTCTATAACTCCTTCCAGCAAATAAATAGATCTGAGAAACCTTAGAAAAGAAAAAAAATCATTGAATTACTATAATGTCTAGAATGTGTATTATAACATCAGTGTATTTTTGATAAGCCATTGTTTGCCCTTGTGATATGTTTTACCTGTTGCTATTTCGTTCTTTCTCCATACTCTCCCTTACCCATGCTTCTTATATAATATGTCTGTCCTTCATGGTTTCTGTCAGTGGACAATGAGGGGTCCATCCTGTGGTATAGTGGGTAAAGCCTCTACCTGTGGCACTGGCATGTCATGTGGGTGCTGGTTTGAGTCTTCGCTGCTCCATGCTGATGTACCTGGGAAAACAGAGAATGACCCAAGTGCTGGGCTCCTGCACCCGTATGGGAGACCTGGAAGAAGCTCTAGGTGTTGCGGTCATTTGGGGAGTGAACCAGTAGATGGAAGATGGCCCTCTGTCCCTCCCTCTCTCTGTAACTGTGCCTTTCAAATAAGTAACTTAAAAAAAATAGTGGACGATAAGAAATACATGAAGATTTTATACTTTCTGAACACTTAATTCAGGCATTTATTATGAGACATTTTTTATTGATAAAACTCATTACAAATATTCTTTCTCACTAGTTCCTTAACCTTTCCTTTATCCTTCCTGTCCATCTCATCTATGATAATGTAGACACAAGGAGGAAGGAGGAAGAAATTCAGCCCTCAAGCCTTGTGTCAGTTTATTTAGTCTTCCTTTTAATATTGTTTATATAGTTGAGAAGGATGCATGCCCATATGAGCTTCTGGTTAGGGTGGGGAGGATCAGGTATGGAGGAAGGTAGGTGGGCCACATGTTTGTCCTTTTTGTTTTTCCTTCTGTGTCCACAGGGGAGGAGGGGGAGAGGACCACTGCTTTCTGTCAGACTGTATCAGCACCCCAGGATGGGAGATTGCAATTTGGGGAAGAGTATTCTGAGCATGTTACTTGAGTGGCTTTGCTGGCCCTGAGACCTTGTCGGTTTCATTGCTCCAGGGTCTAGAAAATCTTTCCAAGGGCTATTGGCTAAGTCTACCTCAGTGCATCCACAGATCCAGACACTCGATGTAAAACTTGGCAGGGAGAGTTGTCCAACCTGTTCTGCTTTCCATCCTCTGACATGGCAGTTAGCGTCCCCTGCTGGCCTAGATGAGCTGGCCACCATGTCTTTCATGTGCAGCTGGATGAGCTATCCACTACACAGGCATCAACAACTGAGGAGACTTGGTCTCCAAGGTTGGGCTACACGTCCTGTGCTTTCCCCATGGCTAGGGTCTCAGTCCAGTGTTCCTTGAGGAAGTTTTCCAAGATGCCTCCTCTGGTGTAACCTCAGACTTGACACTTAAGTGCTCCAGCTTGTGTAGTGTCAGGTGTGGTCTGCACAGATACTGGTGTAGCTGCCTGGTCAGTTCTGCCTCAGGCCCATACCTCATGGAAACTGAGGTTGAATGGCCCAGTCCAACCAGCCTGCCACAGACCCAATAATCAGCCGTACCAGCTGGTGCCATGACCTAGCTAGGGTGACCTCCAGTAACTCCCAGCTCCAGTTTCAATGTATGCCAGGCTCTGCTGTGGCCTATCCTGGCCCAGCCTGGCCCAACCCACATCCTCTCTAGTTCTTGCATAAACCCATGGGTTCTGCAGCTTAGTTCAGCCTGACCTGCCTGTCTCTAGACCTGGCTTAAATATGTCAACAAGTACTGCAACCCACCTGGCTTAGCCTGCTCCCAGTCCTCATCAGCGCCCTCATTAGTAGATATGCCTAGCAGGGAGTTTCCCAAGTCCCCCTGCCAGGCCTGCACCCAGCCCTAGATACCAGATGTCAAACGGGGCAGCAACCCTTCCTAGCACAGTCTACTCTCAGTCCTGGCCCTTGCACGCACCGGTGGGAGCCACAGCTTGGCCTCACCAGGCCTTCTCCCAACCCCTGTCCCCAGCCCCAGGAATGCCAAGTGGGTTCCTGTCAGATGAATTCTAAGGTCTAACCTGGCTAGGCCTGTCACTGCCCCAGCTCCCCATGTAAACTGGAAGGTGCTGCATTCTCACAGCTGTCCTACAGAATCTGCCCTCAGATCTAGTTCTTTTGTGTTCTGGTGGGTGTCGCAGTCCTATTTGTATAATGGTAATTCAAGTGCAAGGTGGGGTGACCTCCCCCCGCCAGTCCCCAAGGTTCTGCCCTTTTTTCCCACCACTGAGATGAGATGGGCTGCAAGGAACGACAGCTCTCAACATAGAAACTCTTGAAGCGTGGCTTCACCTGTTAGACACCCTCTGGAAGGTGAAGGCATTCGTCCAGTTCCATTTCTACAGGTGCAGGTATCCTTCCAAAAGATGCTGAGCATTTATGTCTTAGTTTCCTGAGACAAAATAGTATTTCCTGTCAAACTACAAGATTATAGGGAAATGTAGAAAATTAGAGGTGGGCGTTTGGAATGATAGTTAGGACTTTACCACTTCAGAAAGCCAGGAGCCCGTATCAGAGCACCTACAGGTTGAGTCCTGGCTCCACCTCCAATTCCAGTGTGTGCACCCTGGGGAAGGTCACGTACTTGAGATCGCTGTCCTCCCCATGGGAGACTCAGGTTGAGTTCCTGACTCCTGGCCTGGCTTTTGGCCATTGTGGGCTTTTGGGGAATCAACAGCTTATCTGCCGGTCTTTCTGTTTGTATCTGTTTTTTTGCATCCAGCAGTTGCTGGATGCAGATTGGTGTGAAGACATGCAGTTGCCCTGAATGTCTCATGCAGCCGTGTGTGAACATGAGTCACTGTGCCCTGCCTGCCATTGTCTACTGGATCAATGAGAGCCGCAATCGTATGAGTGTACCTTACCTAGTGTCCAGGAAAGCACTGTGGTGGACACAGTGTGCCTAGTATGGATGCCAGAAATAAGATCCCTCAGAATTAGTCCGGGGTCAGGAAGTTATTTTTGCTATGAAGAATCAGTTTGAAAGGATTTGCTACAGCTGTCGGATGTTGACAGCAAAGCTTGAAATGTTGGTCATGCGTACATTATGTGAAGAGCATCTGCAATATAGAAGGCAGACAGTATATAGGATTCCCTCTTTCTTGTCTAGGACTGACTTGGGACCACAAGCCTTAAGGGGGGGTGCACCATGGACTTGTGCTAACTTTGTGATAGTCCAGGGTTAATTTTTCCCTGTACAAAGTAGTTACGACTCATATGCACCTGCTGCTTCCAGCCCATGGCTGACTGGAGAGCAGACCATGTGCTGGACTCCCACATTGTCCCTCAGCAATGTGGTTTGTTTGAAGCCCTTTTGTCATTTGTTATTGCAGCTGTATCTGGGTCAAAAGTTAGACCTAATTCTGTGAACTCAACCTGCATGAATGTGTCTGGAGGGAATGTTGAACAGCAATAAATATGAATTAGATATCTTTTTTTTAAAGATTTATTTTTTTTTTATTGGAAAGTCAGATATACAGAGAGGAGGAGAGAAAGAGGATCTTCCAACCAATGATTCACTCCCCAAGTGACCGCAACAGCCAGTGGTGCACCAATCTGAAGCCAGGAGCCAGTTCTCTCACATGGGTACAAGGTCCCAAGATCTTGGGCCGTCCTCGACTGCTTTCCCAAGGCACAAGCAGAGAACTGGATGAGAAGTGGAACTGCTGGGATTAGAACCGGTGCCCATATGGGATCTCGGCACATTTAAGGTGAGGACTTTAGCCACTAGGCCACTGCACCAGGCCCAGCTCAGGAAGAATTTTTATGTAAGAATTTTTAGGGTCAGTGCAATGGCTCAGTTGGCTAGTCTGCATGCAAGCAGCAGCACCCCATATGGGTGCCAGTTCATGTCCTCGCTGCTCCACTTCCCATCGAGCTTCCTACAGGGCCTGAGAAGGCAGTAGAGGGTGGTCTAATGCCTTGGGATCCTATGTTTGTGTAGGAGGCTTGGAAGAATGTTCCTGGCTTCAGATGGCTCAACCCTGGCCGTTCTAGCCAGTGGATGGATCTTTCTTTCTCCTTCTCTCTGTAAATCAGCCTTTCTAATAAAGAATTAAAATGTTTTTTTGTTTGTTTCAGAGGCAGAGTAAGCATTCCTACCTACTGAGCCACTACTCAAATAACCACAGTAGTCTGCGGCTAGGACAGTGCTAGGAACCAGAACCTCGAGCCGGGTCTCCTGCCATGCTTGGGGTCAGCTCCTGACCTGTCCTGGGGAAAGACAACTTTGGACTGTTGTCTTGCTTACAAAGCTCAGAGAAAATGACACAAAGAAAATTTCTTTGCATTCTAGTATACTGCATTTCAGAAAAATGATAGAAAGACCCTAATCAGCTAAGTAAGATCATTTAAATAAATTAAAAATAAAAAAAGAAAGTGAACAGGTTAAGAAGGGAAAAAATGATAGAATAAAAATTTAAAGCTCTTGTTCTTCAGTTACTTATCACACACATCTTGTTTACTACACATTAATGTGTAAATATTTCTATTTAGTAACGTAAATGCTACTATATAATTTTTTTACTTACCTGTTAACAGTAAGTCAATATAAAAATCAGACACACAATATATGTTTAATTGTGATTTCCAGTGAAGGAAAAACGTGGGACTGTGTTGTTTGTTACTAGAATTTCATCTATTTTCTATCAAGAAGGAATTGCATTGCATTTTGAGGGAGGGATAAGACAAGTAGGTAATCACATGAAAGCATATTTGTAGTATTTATTCTAGGGGATGATATTATAAGGGATGACATTGAAAGTTTCTGAAGAAGGTTCTGAAGGTGAAGAGCCATGCTGGAGAAGGTCCAAGGTTTAAAATGTTTGAGCAGGAGGAAAAGGGTGCAGTATCTGTCCCCTTAACTTTTCCTGTTGTATATAGTATGTAATCCCAGCAGATTTGTCCTATGTGCATTTTCTCTTTCATCTCTACAGTTTACCTTCAAGAGAAAGCAGTCAAGGCAGGGGGAGCAGATAGAGCAACATGTGCAGCTCCGTGGCCGCCAAGCTGTGGTTTTTGACAGATCGCCGCATCAGGGAAGATTATCCCCAAAAGGAGATTCTCCGAGCACTGAAGGCTAAATGCTGTGAGGAGGAGCTGGACTTCAGGGCCGTGCTGATGGATGAGCTCGTGCTGACCATCGAACAAGGAAACCTGGGTGAGTCTGTACTGAGTGAGCTTTCTGATTTTTACTTAGAATCTACATGTTTTAGAATTGATGTTTTTATTTAAAATCTTTTTAAACTAAAATATTTAAGTTTGAAAGTCAAAGAGAGAGAGAGAGAGAGAAATCTTTGATCTGCTGGTTCACTCTAGGTACCTGCAACAGGCCAGGCCGGGCTGGGGCAAAGCTAGGAGCCAGGAACTTCACCTGGATCTCCTGTTGTTGGCAGGAACCAAAACAACTTGGGTCATCTTCCACTGCTTTGTCAGTTTTAAAAAGTGCCGGTTGTGAGCCCAGCATGATGGCTCAAGTAGCCAATCCTTCCCTTGCAAGCACCGAGATCGACTGTGGGCACTGGGTTGTGCTCCGGGTCCACTTCCCTTCCAGCTCCCTGCTTGTGGCCTGAGAATGCAGAGGACAGCCCAAAGCCTTGGGACCCTGCACCCACATGGGAGACCTGGAAGAAGCTCCTGGCTCCTGGCTTCAGATTGGCTCAGCTCTGGCACTTGTAGCCATTTGGGGTGTGAGCCAGTAAATGGAAGATCTTTGTTTCTCTTCTATAAAATCCATCTTTTAAATGAAAATAAATTATTTCAAAAAAAGGTGCTTGTGTAGGAAATGACATTAAGAGAGTGAATCCAATGACATTAAACAGTGAACTTGTTCTAGTATTTGTTGTGTACATACATTGTGGATCCTGTTGCATCTACTGATCATGTTTCCTTTCCTAGTCAATTTGGATGGTAATTATTAGTTTTTTTCCTCTTGATAGTGTTCTGAAATCTACATCTTTTTGTCTGATGTTAACGATAAGGTTGCCAGAAAATGTTTAGGCTACCTAGACACAGAAAAGGACAGTAGAGAATAGAGTTGTGGTTCTCCGGTCACGGGAAGGCCGAGTGGCAGCTGTGCGGTGCCTTCCTGCGCTGCTGTCAGAGCCTGCAGGTTGCTGTCTGTGGCTGGAGATCCCGAGGCTGCAGCCAGCCACAGCCCTTGCAGACATGCTGTGGCTGTCGTTAAATTGCTTGAGAAAATAATACTTTTTGTGGCATGAGGATTTTCTTTCTCATAGGGGAAGAGGCCAGGAGGCATGATTTTCCTGTTCTCGGTTGAGATAATTGGTGAGAGAATTTCTAAGGAGCTTGTTTATAGAAACTGGAAGTTGTCAAGAAGTGGCTGCCCTGGTATTTTTCATTTGTGTGGTTTGTTGAGTTCTGCGTACTTAGGGCAGTTAAGGGATTCTGGTAGCATGTGCCTCCTACAGAGGAAAGGACAGTTGTTCCCATCTGAAGTTTAGGGTGACTGTGTGGGTGCGTCTGAACGAAACACTGGCCGCTGTGGTGTTCCTGCTGAGCCAGAAAAGTGCTGTCTGACATCATTCTAGAAGGATCGCATCTAGAAAAGACTTTGCTATTGATTGTCTTAGTTTGGTCCCACTGCTCAGGGTTCCATACCATCACAGCAGGGATTTGGATTTCGAAAAATGCTGTGTCCTGCCCAGTGCTTTTTGTTACAATAAGTAAATCAGCAATAACAAGATGAATAACAAGGCTCAATATTTATAGAAATGCCTTCCATTTAGACTTTGTCATTTTCTCTTTTGTATATCACGGCCTGCACATGGCTGCAGTGGCTAGGACTCTGTCAGGCTGAGAGCCAGAGCTTGCTCACAGTCTAGGGTGTGGGTGCAGGGCTCCAAGCACTTGGGCCCCGCTGCTACTCTCCCGAGTGCCTGCGAAGGAACTGGGTCGGACAGTAGAGCAGGCAGTGCTCAGGGATGCTGCAGGCAGCTGATCCCTGCTTCTCTTACGAGTAGAGAAATTTATAATAATTGATGTGGATATTTATCTGCTGGTCTTTCAAGTCATATTAGGAAGATTACATGTTAAGTGGAAGTATTTCTCCTTGTTTTTGTGCATCAAGTATTTTAAGATGGGACTTTGGGACATGTGAGAAGAGATACATAAAGAAGCAAGTTCCTGTTGTGTTGCTAGTAAGATACCAGACCTTTAGCCTGCCAGCCCTACCAGAGCACTGAAATTTGTAAAATTTAAGGAGATGTGCTTTCGCTAAGACATCGCATACCTGTTCATTGGGTATATCTTATTCCCTTTGCCAAATTTTGGGATAGAATTGGTTATTTGGACCTCAGATATGTATTTTTTAAGAAGTGTTTTTACCTTGTTTTACATATGACTGCAGCAGAGCAGCCCTGCTGTGCTCGTTTGCTTGCGCAGTTCCAGCATTACCGTCGGCCACAGTGCTGTGGTCCATGTTTAGGTTCTGGTTAGCGATCATGAGCCAGGGCAGGATTCCTTCTGCTTCACTGAGGAAGCATCTGCCACGAGTGTGGTTCCTTTTCTTGCTCAAAAGAGCACCCTTTAAAGAGAAGAATTTTCTTTATACCTGGAATTCATAGTTAGATAGGACTTTGAAACAGCGGATTGCTGAGAGTTTAATGATGCTAACTGCAGAATGATATTTTGGTGTCTCAGTAGAAACCTTCTAAGCAAATATGAGAATCTTTTGTATATATACATATATATAAGATTGATTTTTATTGGACAGTCAGTTATACAGAAAGGAAGATCTTCTGTCTGTTGATTTCGCTCCCCAAGCAGCCACAACTGGAGCTGAGCTGATCTGAATCGGGAGCCAGGAGCTTCTTCCAGGTCTCCCACCTGGGTGCAGGGTCCCAAGGCTTTGGGCTGTCCTCAGCTGCTTTCCCAGGCCACAAGCTAGATGGGAAACGGGGCTGCCAGGATTAGAACTGGTGCCCATATGGGATCCTGGCATGTTTAAGGCGAGGACTTTAGCCGCTAGGTTACTGCACTGGGCCCTAAAAACATTTCTAAAGATGTGAGTATTTTACTGTTCAGAATTTTCATCAGTGGTTTTGCGTGGCAAATACAGTTTTAAAATAAACAAAACAAAACAAAAAATTAATGTGTTCATTTGAAAGGTACAGAGAAGGACTGTGTTGGAATCCTCTGCAGATGACAGTAGCCCAGGCTGGGCCAGGCTGAAGCCACTTGAGGCGGAAGCGGAGCCAGGATGCAGCTAGGCACCATGACGGTGAATGTGGCCATCAGGTGGTGGCTTCACCGCCGCGTTAAACATTGCCCACGGATGTAATTCACCTGGGGAAGATTCTGGTAACTTGGCCAGATAAATAATGGATCTGTTCTCTGGACTCAATAGAGTCCTTAACAACTTGTTTATGTGAAGAATTTAGGTGAAAGTAGACAGCTCAGAAATCGTGAATATCTCACAGTGTTTTTCCAGTTAAAATTAGCAGTGTGGTAAAGTTCAAGCTAGAATTATAACTCTAGGTGTACTCAGCTTGTGATAGTAAATGGAAGAGTGAAGAACTGAATATTAAAAAGTAGATTTTGAAATACCAACCCCAGTTTTCTCTAGAGAATACACAGGAATTTGATGTGGTCTCTTGGTTTCTCTCTCCCCATCCAATGTTTAAGCAAATAGAAAAGCATGAACCAAGTTAGGATCTGTTGGGATGAATGACCACAATTTTTCTTTTTTTTTTTTTCTGTTAATGTATACAATTTGTACATGTGCACAGAGCTTTTGAGAGGGTTAACCCTTTTCATTAAACAGTTGCCGTCTGTGTCCCAACAAGAGGAGACCCATGTGTGCCCTCCGTGCCATTAGCACATCCAAGAAGAGTATGGTACCGTTTAATGTGTGCTCGAGAATCTGACCTTTAGCATAGATTTCAAAATCTTTTTCAAATTGACTTTGGAAAGCTTTGTTCATTGCATTGTAATATTTACTTAATCTTTTAAGTCTAGAGCAGTCTTCCTGTCTTTGACTTCATTTTTCTTTTTCTTTTAAATCATGATTACATGATTGATCAGAGTGGGAAGGATTGAGGTTTAGGCAAAATTGGGTGAATTCATTACTTCCAGATTTGCTATTTCTTTTTGTTCCTGGGGAAAGGGATAGACAATGACATAATGCTTCACGGTCTGGGTTTATTTGCTTTTTTTTTTTTTTTTAAATATCATATGAAGTTTTTATGAATATACACGATTGTTGTATCCAGGTTACACATTCTGGGCAACAAACTTCCTGAATGCCCACAATAGCCAGACCGTTCTCTGTATCCTTGCCTCAAGACCGCGTTCCAGGAAGTCAGGTTTAGAAAGGACAAGGTTGCAGAAATCTGCCATCTTTGTCTCAAAATGTTCCTAAAGGTAAAGTGAGTAATATTGTAAGGAGCTATCTGCAGGGGACAGGGGACCCGTCTGTATGATGACCACATGCCAGGAGACTTTCTGCTTTCAGCATTGTGTGTGGTATCTTTTTGATGTATTGGGGTTTTTCTGCTGGTAGAGTCTGCATGGGAAATGTTTCAGCCCCTGTTATACAGAGGAAGGATTAAAAGATGGAATTGGTGTAGACTGCTAACAGGTGAGAAGCAGTGCATACCTTCACTTCTCAGGATATCGATCCTTTGGCTGACATGGGCAACCCCGGAGTCTCCATTCACCCAGATACTTACTGTCGATACTGGGCTCGCAGAGTTGTCCTATTTGTTTTGCTCTTCATCTGCCATGCTGCCAGGTGTCCTCTGCAGGCCCCAGTGAACTGCCATATTCTCCATGTGCATCTGAATATACTGTCCACTGCTCCATCTAAGCCACTGAGGAGGTCCAGCTTTGACACATGTATTCCTCAGTCAGACCATGGAAGCTGCAAGTCTCTGAATTTAAGCTTGTTAACTGGTTATGTGGCATTTTACATATCTGACACCTTAACTTACTAAACCATATCTTATACCTTACATCAGTAAATGTGACAGTTGACGCACATACTGTTTTTGTTAGTTTTGTAACTTCTGCTAGCTGATTCTCTTTACCAAACACATCACAGCTTCTTGGCTTGCGTCCTAGCTTTGCTGTTCATGCTGCTCCATTATCTCTCCTGTTGCAGAATTACTGCCATGCCTAAGAGCTGATACCTGACAAGTGAGTTTACCTACTAGAATGAAATCTTGAGCATAAAGACCTTATTGCTCTGATTTATAATATACTCAAAACATTAGAAAAGTCTGGCAGTAATTTTAATCAATGAGTGAGAGAATTTTCATCCATAAGGGATTGAGATTTTAGAATGGCTTTTCATTCAGTCCACCTGAGAAAATTAAAACTATACGTTTGATGACAAAAAGATGTCTGTGATGTAATTTTAAATGATGAGATAAAGTTATCAATTAAGTATCCGATTCCAGTTTTATATCTATTTTTCTGTTATTCTAATGACAGTGTGAAAAGTGCATTCTAATAATACCTAAAAAGGCTCAAGAAAATTCTTTTGAAATTTTTATATTAAATCTGTTAGACACTAGTTGAAATTCAAAATAAATTTTTAAAAATTACAAATATTTTTTAAAAATTTGATTGCAGAAATGTGTGTCCTCACTGAAAAAAAAAATAATGCAGATGGAGAATTGCCTGGAGCACAGAGTTAAACTTGCTAACTATACCTTCCTTGTCACTCAGTCACATTCAGAGCAAGCTACCTAAATAGCTTATCCTTCCAGTTATTTTTTTTTTACCCATGTGTAAACATAAAGTTATTCTCAGATTTGTCCTTAAAAAATAAGACCAACATTATATGTTGTTTTTTTTCATTCTTGAACATGTTTTTATATCATTCTTTATGATGAGCATGTAGTAATTTTATGGTATTGGAATGAATTATGACTTGCTTAGCTAGCTAATGCAAGACTTTTCTTACAAGAGATTGTTTATCCTAACCTAGTATTGACGAAATAATGGTTTTAAAGTTGTGATCTGAGGTTTGGTGTATGTAATTTGTACATTTCCTTGTAACTGTTTTGACATCATTCTTGTACATTTCAGGTCTGCGGATCAATGGAGAACTAATCTCTGCCTACCCACAGGTGGTGGTAGTGAGAGTACCAACCCCTTGGGTACAAAGCGATAGCGACATCACTGTCTTGCGCCATCTAGAGAAGATGGGATGCCGACTTGTCAACCGACCTCAAGCCATCCTAAACTGTGTGAATAAATTCTGGACATTTCAGGAGTTGGCTGGCCATGGGGTTCCACTGCCAGATACTTTCTCTTATGGTGAGCTCATAGTAATGATGTGTTTATAGCCTAAGTGTTACAATTACTGATTGTTTTGACAGTTACACTAGGTTTATAGTGTAACTTTCTAGAAATTGCCTCTCAAAAGAGGTAGCCTTTTTAAGATTTAATTATTTTTATTGGAGAATTAGATTTACAAAGCAGACAGAGATCTTCTATCCACTGGTTTACTCCTCAAGTGGCTGTAATGGCAAGAGCTGAGCCAATTCAAAGCAAGGAATTTCTTCTGGATGTCCCACATGGGTGCAAGGCCTTTCTCGCCTCCTTCCTCAGGCCACAAGCAGGGAGCTAGATGGGAAGCAGAAGTGAGGACACAAGTCAGCACCCACAGGGGATTCCGGTAGATGCAAGGTGAAGATGTAGCCACTAGGCCATCGCACCTGGCCCACAAGTAGCTTTTACATTTATCAAACTGGGCAGGAGAATTGTTAGCTATGTCTGAATATTGATTTATGACATGGGGTGGACCAGATAATAAATATTTTAGACTTTATAAGCCATGAGTTCTCGTGGTAATCCTCAGCAGTGTTAGTGTAAGGTGCTGCGAATATTTATTTGATTATGTATGAGTAACAAAGAAGTCACAAACAAGCATAGGTTATAGGACCACACTTGGAGTAGTACTATTATACTGCTTAATGTATTTTCTACAGTGCAGTACAATATCTGCAGATATTTTCGTGTGGCTTTTAAAAGAAATTTTGTCTTTTCATTAATACTCTGTAGAGTCCCCACTCTGGGCCCTCCCAAGCCTGTATGGCTTTTGAACATTCGGTTGTTCACATTTAGCAGCTGCACAAGAAGAGGCAGACTAAGTGAAATGTTTGATAATTCTGTCTTCCCACTGCCTAACACAGTTCCACAATTAAGATTTTATGAGAATGTATCAGGAGTAAAAAGTCAAGTTGGCAAATATGACATTTGTAATAATATTGATGTTTGAAAGTTTTATAAGACTGCTGTCTTAAGTTCTTCCTGATTTTTACAGGTGCAGACCACTTTATTATTATAAAAACAGTATATTATAACAGTAAGAAGTAAAACTTTACCCGAGCATGCTCAATGCCTCAGTATAGAAAGAACTCTAATGAATAATGGATTAAGAAAAATTAATGTGTGAGTTTGGTAATGAAGAGATGCTTGTGTGTGCACATTTAGCATCTGTTCAAACTTAGAAATATTTTTAGTAACTAATTCTTCACTCTGTTAATGCTGTTAGGGAATTGGACATGTTCAATCTTAAAGCATTTAAAGTGTTTTAAATTCTAGTTTCAGTTTATTATTAAAGAAAAATGAAAATTAGCCATTTCTATCTCCTTTCTACTGTCTTTAGTGTAGATTAAATTGATCACAATGCTATTATTAAATATTTTTTGCTCAAACCAGGTGGTCATGAAAATTTTGCTAAGATGATTGACGAAGCAGAAGTACTGGAGTTTCCGATCGTGGTGAAGAATACACGCGGCCACCGAGGTATGTGTGGTCGTTACTGCGATGGTGTGTAAGTCTGAAATTGCTCTCACAGAGTAGTAATAGTGATTTTGCAATAGCGCTTTGGACAAATAGAGGGAGATTTGTAGATATGATATCTCAAGATGAGAGAAGATTCCTATGAGCTGTTCCGTTTGGCTGGAAGCTCCTGGCACAGTGGTTACTCTGGAGATTTTAACACACATACTTAAATGTCTTCATTAACGTCAGTCATCTACCTCTCAGTTTCTATAGTCTGAGACTTAAATGTTGGGAAACTAATCGAGGCAATTGTTAATCTGGTGTGTTTCTTTATCCGTTACCTCACTAATTGTTTTTGAAAGATTTGTTTATTTGTTTGAAAGGCAGAGTGGCAGAGAGAACAGCTGTTGGGTCACTTCCCAAATGCCTGTGACAGCCAGGCCTGGGACGGGGTGAAACCAGGAGCCTAGGACTCCAGGCATGCTTCCACTGGCGTGGCAGGAACCCAGGGACTTTCCTCCTCAAGTACCTTAGCAGGCAACTGGGTTGGGAAAAAATGGACTCCCATCTCAGACACTGAAACTATCTCAACAGCAACTCAGCACCACCCTTACCTCATTAATTATTACAACTAAACTTCTTTGGTTAAGGAAACTTAAGAATAAAGTGTAAATGTAATTGATTTGAAAAAAAAAAAAACATTGGAACCCAAAAAAGGAACAGCTAGCAGGGATTAACTTCCCACAGTTGGTGACTACATTTATTTTATATATATAGATATATATACTTCTTTCTTAATCACAGGCAAAGCAGTATTCTTGGCCCGAGATAAACATCATCTGGCTGATCTGAGCCACCTTATTCGCCATGAAGCTCCATACCTGTTCCAGAAGTATGTTAAAGAGTCTCACGGGCGAGATGTCCGTGTCATTGTTGTGGGAGGCCGTGTAGTTGGCACCATGTTACGTTGTTCAACAGATGGGAGAATGCAAAGCAACTGTTCACTAGGTAAGAACAATGCTTGTCTAGTGAGTATCGAAATATAACTTGATCTTTTTACTTAAATTAGAAGACATCTTTCACCTATAAATATGATTTATAAATTTACTACCCTTGCAGTATTTGTGTGTGTGTGTGTGTGTGTGTGTGTGTGTGCGTGCGTGCGTGCTGTTCTCATGGAATTAGATTTGACTGAATCATAAATTTGCTTTCACCTGTAACTCAGTTCACAGAAGTAAGAAATGTCCAGCTTGACGTTAATGTGGTTGGCTTCATTTGCTTGTATATATTCTCTGAGATGTCTTATCATTCAAGTTCATCAGGGCATAACTCTTAGCTCCATGGAATAAAGCTATGAGCTTTTATTTTCACATAGTTCACCATTTTTTGAAATAAAAGCATGGATTTGGGGGAAGGGGCATAAAACATCACAAGACCAACACCTTCGGAGCGTTAAGAGAGCCCTGAGTCTGTGATCGGGAGCCTACTGGCTATTCAGGAGAAAAATGCAGTACAGATTTCGCTAGAGAGTTCTGAGAGAAAAAATCCAAAATTTCCTGGCTCAAAATAATTTGGGGGAAGGTATCACAGTGCTAGGATTAGGGTGATGGGGCAGTGATCCCTGCTTAGGGCCTTGGAACGGATCTTGCTGTCGCTCAAGGCTGGCAACATAGAATTGGACAACAAAAACCATCAAGGCGCCAACCAATGTTTTTGGACTGACATTCATTGTGTAAGGCAGTATCAGGGTATAGGTGTCAAAAGCTGTTGGTTGCAGCAGAGCTTGCAGGAATTCCCCAAAGCCCTGGCACTCCTGCAGAGTGAAGCCAGCATTCCTTTTTATTTCCCTTGTGATTGCGAAGGTCAGTTTCTTCATGAATTGAGGTCCCCATATAGTAAAAGAGGCTTGCCAGAAGCCAAGCCCTTCAGGAACTTTTGAAAGGCTTTACCCCAGTGCTGTCAGTAATCCAATCTTACCAGACTGTGCCCTGTGTCAGGCACATAGGCCATTATCAGCACAGGTGCTTCAGGTTAAGCCACAAACACCCAATCATCTATCTGCACCAGTGCCATAGGATAGTTTGAGCGGGCACAGGCAGACAGCAGCCCACCCCACTGTAGCCTTCTTTGTCTGAAGGAACCAACCAGTACTGATGAGATAGTCCGACAGCTCTTGAGGTTCAGGTGACAGTTTGTTCTCCGAACATTTGGTCTCTTGGAGGAATAGGATGTCAGCCTTCTTCCTTTATCCAAGCTCAAAGCCCATCCACATTCCAGGAGCAGATCTTGAGGGTGGCAGCTTTGCCACTGGGCGAGGTTTCCTGATCTGTGGGGACCTCTGCGCCTGCCTCTTTTTGATTCTTTTTGGCTCTTATTCTTCTTGGGCTCTGACTCCTCCCTGTCTTCTGCCACGGCCCCCTTGTAGCCACACTTTGGCATGCCTATAAGGATGGATGGCCCTTCGGCATCTGAAACAAGTCTTTTTTTTTTTTAAGATTTATTTATTTATTGGAAAGTCAGATATACAGAGAGGAGGACAGAGAGGAAGATCTTCCATCTGATTATTCACTCCCCAAGTGAGCGCAACGGCCAATGCTATGCCGATCCATAGCCAGGATCCAGGAACTTCTTCTGGGTATCCCACACGGGTGCAGGGTCCCAAGCCTTTGGGCCATCCTCAACTGCTTTCCCAAGCCACAAGCAGGGAGCTGGATGGGAAATGGAACTCCCAGGATTAGAACCGGCACCCTTATGGGATCCAGCGTGTGCCCTGAGGACTTCAGCCGCCAGACCATGGCGCCGGGCCCCATTGTCAAGTTTCATTGAGAGTCCATTTTTGGTCTGGAAGAACAGATGCATACTGCATTGTATCTTCACATCTGGATATGTCAATTTCCATTACACAGTTACTGTACATCCCCTTAAATGAAAAATCACAATACAAAATCAGCAACAAGAAGAAAAATAGAAATTAGCAGTGGCTTTTTGTTTGTTTATATTAACTTTTAGTCACTTATTATGCTTCTTGCCTGTTTCTGTTACTTAGAAGTTTTATCAAGCTCGTGGTTTTAAATATAAGCGTTGTCTATATGGTACTTATTTTTATACATATTCGGCATTTCTTTGCATATTGTTTTCAAGCTTCTGTTTAGGCTTTTTCATAGTGTATGCTATGAACTGCCTACTTAATACCTCATAAACTGACTTGCTGATACAATCCCTCCAGCTTAGAGTTCTCTCCTTACCCTTCCAGCATAGCCCAAAATCCCTACGAATTCTGTCTTCTCTTAACGCCGCTTGCTCTGACTCGCAGGAATGCCTTGAGGTCTCTTCCCAGGAATGTAGCCATCATCTTAGAACTAATCCTTAGCTCCCCCTGCTGTCTCCTAAGATGCTTACACCTTTGCTGTCTTCCCACAGCACTTGAGAGGTCCTGTAGTTAAATTTTAATTTACACTCCATAGAATAGTGTGTTGAAATAACATGCCATTCTATGCAGTCTTCCATCAGGCCCAGGAAATGAATTGTTTCTTTGTCCATCATGTCTGTACTGTGTACACTGCCCACCTGTGAAGGTGTCGATTATTAGATAACATGTTATCACAGTGCTTTTTAAAAATTTCTCATTTTAGTATTCTTAACATAGTTAGGAGGGATGCATTCCTGTATGGGCCTACAACTAGGATAGGGAGCTACGAGGTAAGGTAGAAGGTGGGTGGGAGAAATATGTTTGTTACTCCCCCCTGTTTTTTTGCTTGCTTGTCTAATGGTGGCAGGGAGTTGGGGGCGGGGACTGATCCTTGCTATTACTACATCAGCACCTGGTAATGGGGAACAGGCATTTGACACCATAGAGACCCCGATATAGTGAGCCATCTTACGAGGATGGTAGTCAAATGGTTTTGATAGTTCTGAGACGTTGTCGGCTTGGTTGCACCGGGATGAAGTATTGCCTGGCCAAGTCCACTTCAGTGCACATCCACAGACCCACACTCTTGCTGCAAAGCTTGGCCAGTACAAGTGTCCAAATTGTTCTGTTTCTCAGCCTTTGTCAGGGCAGGTGACATCCCCTGCTTGCCAGCCGGTTCTGTAGCATTGCCCAGCCCAGCCCACCACAGGCCTGGTCCCCTTGCATACCAGCAGGTGCCACAGCCTAGTCCCCCCGCTGTCCCTACCAGGCCTGTACCCAGCCCTGTTTCCGCCCCTCCCCCTCTGTGCTGTCATGTGCTGCAGCATAGCCCAACCCATCCTGCAGCCCATCTAGCTCTTGTGCACATCTAGCTCTTGTGCACATCCCTATGTGCTGCAGTTTAGCTCTGCCCACACATGCCGATGGGTGCAGTGGCCTTGACCAGTGTGACTCGCTCCCAGCCCTGGCTGTTGTTCTCACCAGCAGGAGTTGCAACCTAGCAGGGGAGTGCCCACAGTTCTCTTTCCAGCCTTGGATCTTGTGTTTGCCATGAGGTGCTGTGATCTAGCCTGACACAATGTACATCCACTCCTGGCACTTTTAAGATTTATTCATTTTATTGGAGAGGCAGATTTAGAAAGAGAAGGAGAGATGGAGAGAAAGATCTCCTATCCATTGGTTAAGCCCCAAGTGGCCGCAATGGCCGGAGCTGAGCCTGTCCCAAGCAGGGAGCTTCTTCCGGATCTCTCATGTGGGAATAGGACCCTCAGGCTTTGGGCCATCCATCCTCCACTGCTTAGCCCAGCCTGGCTCTCCTAACCCAGCTCACATGCAGGCCGATGGGTATTGTAGTCCTGTATAGTAGGTTTTGTATCTCCTTTACTCTGTATATCTGCCTTTCCAGTGAAATAAGTTAAAATTTACTGTGTAGCAAGCGCTATGCTGAGTCTGTGAATAAAGTGTGTGCAGGCACACCCTGCTGTAGCGTCCCTCCCTTTTACATATCCCCAGTCTGTTTCTAGTAATTGCTGTTTTGAGCGTTGCTCTCTTACGTCTCTGTATACACACTTAGGCCTACCATGGGTGTGTTTGTAATGAACGCATAGACATTTTTTTCATGGCATCATTCCCTAAACATTTTAGTGTAACAAGTACTTAGATTGCATTTCTGTTATATTAGGCATTGTAAGTCATCTACAACTGACAAAATATGCAGGATGATTGTGTAGGTTTTTGCAATTGCTGTTGGGTTTCATATAGGAAACTTACAGGAGCCACAAATTTTGGTGCCTGTTGTAAGGTCCTGGAAATCCATTCCTCTCTGAATACTGCTTTTCCACACTACTTCAAGTAAAATAAACAAAATAACATTGAAAAAGTACTCAGGTTTCAAATCTTTGAAAATCTGGGTAGGTAAAGGCTTTCTAATGCTGGAAGTCTAGATTTGAAGGTCCCAAATGCCTCTAGACTGGCACACCTTTATATTACTGGTTTAGATAAATGCTTTAGACACTATTTTTTCTTTAAAGTTGATCATCTCAGTAACTTGCTTTTCTTGTTTTTCTTCCAGGCGGCGTGGGGGTTATGTGCTCACTGAGTGAACAGGGGAAACAGCTGGCCATCCAGGTGTCTAACATCCTGGGGATGGATGTGTGTGGCATTGACCTGTTGATGAAGGATGACGGCTCCTTCTGTGTCTGCGAGGCCAATGCAAATGTAGGTTTCATCGCCTTTGATAAGGCTTGTAATCTAGATGTAGCTGGTATCATAGCGGACTATGCCGCCTCCCTTCTGCCCTCTGGCCGGCTCACCCGGCGTATGTCCCTGCTCTCCGTGGTATCCACAGCCAGTGAGACTAGTGAGCCGGAGCTGGGTCCCCCAGCCAGCACTGCTGTCGACAACATGAGCGCAAGTTCCAGCTCTGTCGACAGTGACCCCGAAAGCACCGAGCGCGAGCTGCTCACCAAGCTCCCAGGGGGCCTGTTCAACATGAACCAGCTGCTAGCCAATGAAATCAAACTCCTGGTGGAGTGACTCCACCGGGAAATCATTAACCAACAAAACCCCTGTAAAACTTCTTTTCATTTTCCTTTTTCCCTTTTTTTTCCCCCTCTTTTTCATTTTTCTATTTTAACCAACTTGCAATGCTGTTCATGGAGTATGTTCTGGAAGATAGTCAGTTGGAGAGAATAGGCGGGGGAGACCTCTGCTAGTAAGACGTTATGTTCATTTAAAGTGAGAGATAGAAAAATGTCAGGCTCATAGTTATCTTTTAAAATGTGCTCTCAGGCCATGAGAAATGTAAATTTGGTCATGGTCCCTTTTGTTTTTGAACAAAAATAGTTTTGATACCAATAATTTCATGTTGTATTGCAAGACTTGTAATGAATAGGAAGATATCTACTAAATTACATATCTTTTATTTATATTCAAATCTGAAAATTCTGCCATTTCCCCATTAACTAGCAGCGTTCACTTATAGTTATTTATGAAATCTCAAGGGGCTCTTTCATTGGGATTTCTTATTTTTGCTTATGTCTTTTGTTTATTAATTGGAGTGGGGGCAAAATGAACAACTCAATAAAGACTTTTTAATGACAAAATTGGCATGTTTGCATGATGAAGGGGAAATGAACAGTATTGCAATGTCTGGTATATGAAGTAACATTTACTCAATGTAGATAAAGTTATACTAGTTTAAAATGTGTGCATTGGCTTGTATTAGTGTTTTAGTCTTTTTTGAAAGATATATGCTCTGTTAATGTTGCATTTGAAAGTTCATGCTAGTCTAACATCCCTTGCTCTCTGCCTGCATCTTTAACAATGGCCAAAGTGAAAAAAATGCTACCTTTTTTGTTAACAAGACAGTGACTTGAGACATGTACATCTAGAGCCTTTTATTTTTTCCCTTTTTCTTTTGGTGTTGGACATTCTGGGAATAAGGAAAAACATTTTTTGGTGGCAAATCAAGGACCTCTGAGTTGTTAAGTATAAAGTTGAAGTGGTTTCTAATGCCAGCGTTACTTATTTGCATCTTCCACATTTTATGAAGGAGCATATATGTACGTGTGTGCACGCATGCATGTGTATGTGTTTTGCTTTTTGTTTACACCAACCAATCAAAAGGGATAGATTCTAGAAAATGGGGCATGGCGGAAAAGGAGTTTTTGACATTAAAAAACAGCCGAGTTGTTTTCATCACTTAGATTCACTAGGGTGGAGCTGTTCCCCTGAGGACAAGGACAGTAGGCGCTGCGTAGGCTTCTGTGTATGTGTATGTTTGTTTCGTTTTGTTTTTGTTTTCTTTGTAGACCGTTCAGTGTGTGGTTTATTCAAGGCTCCATGCTTTTCTTTAATGCTTCTGGCTATGCATTTTTTTTCTCCTTACATATAGAATTTGGGAGTGGCCTGGGCTGTATGCTCTTGTTTGGGGATTTAGCAGTATTGAGCCTCTGATAGCCCTACTCTTAAGCCTGCAATACTGTCCACTCTTGGTATTTCTTAATTTATGAAAGCCCTCACACTGCCTAAAATATGAGCCTTTAAAACATGGGAGAATTATCCCCATCATGGGTTTGAAAGGTTTGTTAAGAAATGGAAATGCTGCAGAGCTCAACGTAATTCCTTAAACAGCAAGTTCCATCTGCCTACAAATCCTCTGAAGCTTCCCCCGCCCTGTCCTGCCTCTCCACTGCTCTGTTCCTTCACATGGACTTGTAACGTAATCTCTCGGACGTGATAGCGACACCTCGAGGCAATAATAAAAGCTCAGTAGTAACAAGCTCGACAGAGGTTTGATCATGCTTACCTGTACAGTTTCTTCCCCATTTCAAAAAGGAATGTAATAAAATTTGCTTTCCATAGAATTAAATAATATTAAAATCAAGTGAAAAGTTGGTTGTGAAAATAGCAATAGTACCTCTAATCTGTGCACTGTCTCATTTCCCCTCAGAAGAAAGACACACAAGAGTTTTTGACTTATCTTAGAATATTCTGATTCATGTGAAAGAATTTGACCTTTGCAGTCGCTGGGAGACTCACCCAAGTACTCTGACTCCTTAGTAGGAAGAAGTTCTTGGCACTTTTCTTGCTGAATGAGCACGTGGGAGGATGCACACTCTTGGGTATAGAGAAAGAAACAAGGAAAGGGTGGGAGGAAATATCACAATTCATGTTTGTGAAGAGATTGTCTGGTTGTCAAATATATTATTCTATACATATCCTGAGTAGTTGGAGCTCTCATGTATATAGGTAAATATAACATCCTCTGGATGAAAAATTCAAGGTTTGTGTTGGTGGGGAAAGGAATCAGGAAAAATGTAGTTAGCCTTCCTAAAACATTTTACTAGATTGACAAAATATGTTAAGTGAAATAATCTGAGGTTATAGTTTTTATTCACCATCTATCTTTAGTGCATTTGCAGTACATTAAGCCTATCTTTATCAGCCTATTTCTGGATTGTACACTCACATGTTAGAGTGAAAAGGGCAGGAATGATCATCCTACACTTTCAATTTGAAATATGGATACATTCTTGAATTTCCTCAGAAATTAAGGTAAAGAATAAGAACAAAAATCATTCTGTAAGAACCCCAAGAAACAGCAGCAGCTAAATTTATTTTCATAATTGTTTAATAGCAGTTATGTAGTCTTCATTGTTGTGAGAGGTGAAAATGTATTTATCAAATCTGTATAATCATCATGCCAAATTCTGAATTGTAAACTTTTTATATACTGTTAAAATTGTAATTTAAACTGTGTTTTAAAAATAATTATTTCTGCTACTGTTTTCATGTCACCCATGTTGAACACTGGACTTTAGTATATACCTAAACAGACATAAGTATGGACTATTCCATTTTACATTTTTAATAGTTTTTTTCTCTTTTTGGTGCCTATAATCAATTGATTGGTCATTTCTGCTGGCTTTTTCTCCAAGAACTTTACAGTCTTTCTGTTTATGCTAGCAAAAAGAAAACTACCTTTGAACATTAGGAAAATCCGACGAGAGAACTTGCTTCGTCAAGCACTTTGTCAGACTTGGAGAAGGTATCGAAGGCATTGCAAGAAATCATTGACTTTCAAAATGATCCCTTCTTTTTCAAAGAGGAAAACAATGGAAAACCATTCTTCATTCAGTGGATCTGCAGTTTGGGTCTGGGGGGCTTAGAGACATTGTGAAATCAAATCTTATGTGATATTTTTCTCCTGGCTCGCTTTTTTTGAGAAGGTTTATGGGCTATTTGGCTGGTGAGACACGATCCCCTCCTAAGAAAATGTAGGTGCTCAGACAGGTAACCGCTGCTGCTACTGTTTTTATGTTTGTTTGTTTGATTTCATTTAAAATTTGTTTTTGTTGTGTTAGGGCTTTTTAAAAATGTAATATATTGCAGGATTTATGACCAGGTTCACTGCTTGCTTGCTTTCTGTTTCTTTTCTTTTTTTTTCTCCTTAAAACAAACAGAACAAGGATTCATTTAAAATACATTTAGGTACCTTGGAAACTTGGATTTTGGAATGTTTCAGTAGTGGACAGAAATCTGCTGTTGGAATCTTCTAGTCCTCCAGGTTTAATTTGAAATGTTTTCAGGCTTTTTGTTTTGTTTTGTTTTTGTTTTTGAGTTTTGTGTGATATTTTATTTCCTTTACACCAGTGTCTTTTTGCCATGCTGTTTTGGGGTGGCTGCCTAACTCTAGTGAAAATTCTTTCTACATTAACGAAAGTTTGGCCTTTAAAAAAATTCCATAATGTTTTGCATTTTTAAGATTGTTTTCTAGAAATATTCTAACTGCTTGCACTGTTACTGTTCTTTGCCAGCCTTTTCAGGAGCCAAAAAAACCAAAATACAAACAAAAAAATGCCCAGAGAAAAAGTTTTCCTTCTTCCCCCTTCCTGATGATGAGTGAGAAGTATTGAGAACTTTCGGGGTCAGTGCCCTTCTAAACCCCCCTTCCCCCAATAACGCAGCTGTAGAACACGTGGTAAATGCAGCGGTTCGGATTCAGGCACAGCCCCAGCCTGCTCGCAGGTAATTTGACTCTCTCTCCATCACAAGGCTTACTTCCTTTGTAAAAATGTTGCTGATGTCCTCTAAAGGCAACCATGGGCTTGTCACAGCTGGCTTAAAAACAAGACGCCCGTGTTGATCTAGGAAATGATTCCAGAGAGCTTGGGTGGGGAGCTAGCACGTGAACACAGAACTGGCTGTGGGGATCTCGTTTAGCCATTTAGGTAACTTCCGTTCTCTTGCATATGTGTCTATAATTAAGTATTGTAGAGTGTGACTTTTTTTTTGCTTTGTTTTTATTTTGGGTTTGTTTGTTTCTTCCATTGTGCTACTCTGGCTTAAGCTTTTTCAGGGGTTGGTGTTCCGAATACACAGTGAGCTCACAGTATAAAGACATCAATTAGGAGTTGACAGGTATGGAAATCTAGAGTTTGAACAGGTAAAATTAGGCTGTAGGTTATATATATGGTAAAAACTCATAGCATTCAATGACTCAGCGCTCTCTTTCTGTGACATCACTGTGAAGGAGAGGGAATGAGGACACGGGTAGTAACGCAGGAGCAAACACTAGCGGAAATGGGATCAAACGTTTAGAAGCTGTAGGTTTGGGTAGATGTGGGAACCTCTCGGAAGCACAGTGTGGTTAAGCAGATTGACCAGGGTCGTCAGCGAAGCTGGTGGCAGGAATATGAATGTAATGTGTCCATTTCAGTAAGCCTTATAGCTAATAAACAATCCCCTTGCCTTATCCCAGTCCACTCCCCTCCCCCCATTCTGCCTAAATGCTAACTTGCAGTAAATACTGCTCAGTGAAAGTAGCCAGAGCTTTCCCAAGATTTTTGTTTATTTGCAGAATTTCACATTATGCCAAAGAAGATGTAAATTTAATAAATCAACTAGCGAGTGAATAGGGAATCTTGACTTGTAGTGCTATTGCTACAGCTGAAAGATGCATACAAGTCATTAACCTGTCTACTAAACAGGAGTTCCAGCTGCACTCCTGAAGGAATTCAAATACAACCCCCAAAAAAGATCCTTCAGCAGAGCCTCGTTCCCTGGCTGGTGAGAACACCGTCCTCAGGTGACTGGC